ACCCGCACCCCTGTGGGATTCCCGCTTTCCTCTAAGGACAGGAAGGTCTCCCGGGGGAAGGCGCGCACCCTCGGCTCTGAGCCCCTGATTGCTGTTGCAAGTTCAATAAAGTGTTGTTGTGTGAGAATGCACGGCCGGCTCGTTTCTGCGTCTCCCGGAGCTCTGTGCACGGGGTGCGGAGACACCCCCAGAGAGGAGGAGGGGGCACCGCCCAGGCCCCGACCAGTCCCTGCAGGGGCGCCGCCAGGCACACACAGCTGACGTCCCCACGTGCCTTCCAGGTGCGGCCGGACGCCAGGGTCGGGACCCCACAGACTCTACTGCGGCTCAGCCTGTGCCCGCGGCCAGGACGGGCCTGGGACAGAGTGACAGCCGGGGAGCCTCAGGTCACCAGGGTCTGCGCTAAGTGCCCTGGGAGGTCTGTGCCCCCTCTGTCCAGGGGGCCTGGGCTGCCCGGGCTCCGGGGCGCTTCCTCCCCTCCCCGCCCCGGGCCTGTGCGCCTGGGGCACAGAGGGCCCGCGGGGCGGTCCGCGTGGCCCCGGAGGGGACGTCAGGACGGCAGGCCCTTGCAGCTCTCACACCCGGGCCACCCTCACCGGGCGGGCTCAGCACGCACACCCGGTGCTGCTGGATCTCTCGCACCAGAGTGTGGAGGGCACCCTGCAGGCCCTGGAGAGGAGGGGCTGGGTGAGCGTGGGGCTCGGCCTGGGGGCAGGCAGCGCAGGGGACCGAGGGACCCTGTCCCCGTCCCAACTCCCACACACAGGCAGCCCCAGGGCTCCCCCCACGGGCAGCCGGCTCCTCAGGAGCTCCCCCCAGGGCGGCCCCGAGGTCTGGCTCCCCGCTGGAGAGGCATCGGGGAGAAGAGAAGCGGCCGGCGCTCGGCGGGGACCCACTGCCACCCACGGCAATGTGGCCGAGCCGCACCTTCCAGCTCAGGTGACCCTCCGGCGGGACGGCACGGCACGAGGGAGCCCGGGTCGGCCAGGAGAACCCAGCTAGCCGCCCGGCGCCAGCACCAGAAATGATGCTGTTTCAACCGTTTCGGCGTCAGGACGACGCGGCCCGAGGATCAGATGGCGGCACGGCGACAGACACACACACACACCCCAAACCCAACAAACGTCGTAATCCCCCGGTTGTCGTCAGACAGCAGCCGGACGGTTACAGACACGACGCCGGGGTCCCCGGTAGGACACACGGAGGACGCTCCAGACCACGGCTGCAGAGGCGCTGGAGGCCCGGGGATGTGCCTGCGGGTGCCCACGGGGAGCGCGGGGCGGCGGGAAGCAGCCTACAGAGGGGGGCCCCTCCTGGGAAAGAACGCCGGGTCCCCCCGAAGGCTCCGGATGCTGACATCTGTCCTCCTCTCCTTCGGCTTCTGGTTTCCCCCCTATTTTGTTCTTCCTGATTCTCCTTCGGCCTCCACCCTGCATCCGAGCCACTGACCACACGGGCTTCTTTACGACGTCGGGGCCCAAAAGGAGGCCGAGCTCTGGCTCCCGGGATCGGGAAAGACCATCGCCGAGGTTTATGCTGGTCCTTCCCGGCTCTTCTGTCCTGCAGAACGAGGGGAGGCCCGGGCCTGACAGGGAAGGAAGCCCACTCCCACTCGGGCGGGACCGTCCCTCGTGGAGGACGTCATCTGGGCCCAGGAGTGCGAGCGGGGCGATCCAGAACAGGTCCCAGGTTAGACATAGTCCGCTTGGAGGTTTGTCCTGAAGCGAGCACTCACCTTCGACGTCATGCTTTATTAGTTCATCCATTTACTATTCGTTAAGGATTTTATTTTTATGTCCTCTCTACACCCAACATGGAGTTCAAACTCACAGTCCTGAGATCGAGGTCCCCCGACCGGGCCGGCCAGGCACCCCAGGGCCATGTTTCTCATCTCTTTGCTGGCTCGCCTATCTCTGCACCCAACTGGGACATCGAGTCCATGACGGGGGAGCTTTAGCTCCCTCCGAACCCGGCACGTTCTCGCTGTATCCCCATCCCCGAACGACCTTCGCCATTGAATAGCAACTTAAATAAATCGGCAGTCAAACGACTCCTGGTCGAGGAAATGGCCAACTTGTCACGTGTGTGGGTCCCGCTCCCGGGGAGGCTCTGCTTTCTTTAACATCGATCAGGGTCCCAATGACTCCACCGTACCTCGACGCGGGGGCTCAGTTTCTGCCCCGACACAGGCAGCACGTCGGCTTCAATTAATACCTATCAATCAATCAAAGGGAGCCTGGTCGCTCGGTGTGGTTCATAAGAACACGCGACCCTTGTTCTTGGGGCAGAGAGTTCAAGCCCCATGTGGGTGTAGAGGTGACAGAAAAATAAAATCTTAAAAAGAAAATCAATCAGTCGGTCTGGGGGAGACACAGCCCCGGATCCCACAGGGGCAGGGAGCCCGCTGACGGGTCTACGCACAGTATTAGAAGCAGCAGAGCACAAAGTCAGAACTTCCAGAAGTCTGCTAGAGTGGGGGACACGCCGGCCTTGACGGTGCTCGGGAGGCGAAGTGGGGGGCGGCCCCTGGAGCGACAGGGTGGGCTCAGGATCCCCGGGGTCCCAAGGACGGTGGCGCCAACGGTTCCCAGGCCCAGGAGCGGGGACCCCGGCCGAGAGCCGCGGGACTAGGGCCAGCTGTCTGCCCTGTGTGGCCACAAACTGCAAACCCCTGTGCAGTCACGGGGCCGCGTCCCTGGGCCGGGCCAGCAAAGGCCAGAAGCGGGAGGAGACCCTCCCGAGCGGGAGGAGCACGGGTCTCCCCAGGGCAGCCCCTAAAACTTGGAGGTTTGAAACTCAGTCACTTGTCCGAGATCAGAAAACAAACATAAGCTGGGACGCAGGCAGGGTGAACGCAGGGTCTGCAGAAGCGGCGGAGGCCCCTGCAGACTGGGGCGGGGGGGGGGGCGGGATGCTCAGCCCCAGGCCCAGGGGACCCGGCGCCCCCGCCCGCATCCCCTACTCAGCACCGAGGCTCGGGGGCAGCACAGCGCCGCCAGCCAGCGGGGGCCCAGACCCCGCCTCCGACCCGCAGGTGCATCTCCCCCCCGAGGCAGGTGCATCACTCCTGAGGCAGGTTCATAGCCCTGGAGGCAGGTGCGCACCCGACGTCAGCGCCGCGGCCCCGCCCCGAGACCCCGCCCAGACCCCTCGCTGCCGCCAGGTGGACCGACTGCAGAGGCCGCAGAGCTCGAGCTCCGCGGAGAGAGCGGGGTCGAGCTTCCTCTGTACTTTGGGCTTGCTTTATTTTCATTTCTTTTCTTCGATTCTTTTTTATTAATTGCTTGATTTTAATTTTTATGTATATACCTTATATATTACTTATTTTTGTTTACTCTCATCGTACTTTGCCTTTTTTTCTTTTTTTGGAATTTAGATTCTTTTCACAAGGAGGCCAAAGCACACACAGCATCTAGTGGGTTTTTTTTTTTTTTGGGGGGGGGCGGTTGCTGTTGTTGTTATCGTTGTTTTTCTTGTTTGTTTGTTTTTCTTCCTTCTTTTTGGATAGAATAATGAGATGGAGAAATTCGCCTCCATAACAACCTCGTGGTACCCGCAGCTAGGAAGTTCATCAGTACACATAGATGGTGTCTGAGTAGAGTCTAAAACAATGATCATAAAGAAGATCGCAGCTGGGCTGGGAAAAGAGCGCGGAAGGAAACTCGACAGTCCCTTAGTGTAGAAACAAAAGAGCTAAAGTCTAGTCCGGCCAACGTCAAAAGTGCCTTGACCGAGGTGCAGTCCCAAGTGGAAGGCTCAAAACAAGGGAGGTCCCGGGCCGCGGAGGCGGACGGCGGGACGCAGCCGCTCACCAGAAGAGCCGCATCCGCGTCCCAGGAGACGCAGAAGACGGAGAGAAGAAGGGGCGGACGTTGTAGTGGAACGAGTCGTAGCCGAAGTCACAGCACTCGCAGACTCGGAGACGGCCCTGAAAGCGGCGGAGGCGGCGCTGGGGCAGGGGGGAGGCGGGTCCTCGCGCTGCGGGTCGTGGACCGAGCGTGCGGCGGGTCGGCGGCCCCGAGAGGAGGGGAAGGAGCGCCCAGCCTGCGGCCCGCGATGCTGTGCAGCCAACAAGTCCTTCGGCAAAGGCCGCCATGCGGGACGGCGACTCGAGGGCACCGAGCTCACCTGCGTCTCGGCTCCACCCGGGACGTAGAGGACGCGGCCGGGCGGCTCGGGCCCTGGGGTGCCGGGATCGAATCCCGCGTCGGGCTCCCGGTGCATGGGGCCTGCTTCCCCCTCCGCCTGGGTCTCCGCCTCTCTCTCTCCGTCTCTCTGTGACTCTCATAGATAAAAAAAAAGACGAATTAAAAGAAATTTGCTTGGTCCCTTGTAAATAAACGGTCGGTTTCGCTCGCAGCGCCTTCAACAGTTGGAAACAGGGTTCACCGCGTCCCCGCAAAGCCTGAAGCCCAGAAACACGCGCCGCCGCCGGTGACGCCCGCGGAGCCCCAGGCCCGCCGCTCCCGCAGCCCCCGCAGCCCCCGCAGCCCCCGCGCCCCGGGGACGCCGGGACCCCGGCCCCGCCTGCGCCGCGCGTGTGGCCCGGGCGGCGACCCCACAGCCCCCGGGAGCGTGACCCGGAGCGAGGCCGGGACCCCTCCTCTCCCGCACACCTGACCCCAGAGCGACACCCGGACCCCGTCCCGCGGCGTGACCCGGAGCGAGACCCGCACTGAGACCCGGGACCCGCTCCTGGGGGGGGGGGGGAACCTCACACCGCGGGGCCTCCGGGGCGTGACCGCCCCACCCCCGCCTCCCGGATGTGCCCGCGGAGCCCCGCCCCCGGATGTGCCCGCGGAGCCCCGCCCCCGGATGTGACCCCCCCATCCCCGCCTACCAGGACCGTGACCCCCCCATTCCCCCTCCCCCGGAAAAGACCCCGTAGCCCCGCCCTCTGGATTTGACCCCCGCATCCCCGCCTGCCCCGGATGTGTCCTCGGAGCCCCGCCCCGGATGTGACCCCGTAGCCCCGCCCCCGGATGTTACCCCCCCGTGGCCCGCCCCGCCGTGCGCCGACGTCCTCCCCCGGCGCGGCGTCGGGCGGTCGGCTGGAGGAGCGTGGGGAGCGTGCGGAGCGTGGGGAGCGCCCACCGGCCCCGGGCGGCGCGGGTCCCGCCATGAAGTTTCGGGCCAAGATCGTGGACGCGGCCTGTCTGAACCACTTCACCCGTGAGCGGCGGCGGGGAGGGCGCGGGGGGCGGGGCCGGGGCTGGGGGATGCCGGGGCGTGGGGCGATGGGGAGAAGGGCGTAGGGCAGAGGGTCGCGCGCGGGCGGGGAGGTGATGGGCCCCCGGGAAGGTGGGGGAAGGTGGGGAAGGTGGGCTGGAGGCCGCTGCGGCCCGCGGGGGCTGAGCCGGCGCCCAGGACGGTCGGGGAAGTTGCCTTGGGTCAGACGAGCGTGGGTGGGGGCCCTGGGCTCGCCCGGCTCGGCCTGCAGCCCTGTGGCCCAGCGCAGAGTGAGCCCCGCGCCGCCGTCCCGTCCCCTCCCGTCCCGTCCCCGTCCGTCCCATCCCGTCCCGTCCCCTCCCGTCCCCTCCCGTCCCCGTCCCCTCCCGTCCCGTCCCCGTCCGTCCCATCCCGTCCCCGTCCCGTCCGCGTCCTGTCCCCATCCCCATCCCCGTCCCCATCCCATCCCCGTCCCCGTCCCCCCCCCCCCCCCCCCCCCCCGGCCGGCGCTGGGCAGGCACCACGTGCTCCCCGGGCGCCGCGCCAGGCCCCTTCGCACCAGCGTCCCGAAGCAGCTGCCCTGCGCCCTGGCTCCCCGCAGGGGTCAGTGCCATGATCGCCAAGCTGGCCAAGACCTGCACGCTGCGCATCAGCCCGGAGAAGCTGAACTTCGTGCTGTCGGACAGAGTGGCCAGCGGAGGGGTGAGCATGTGGTGTGAGCTGGAGCAGGTGAGAGGAGGCGCGGGCGGCTGGGGCGCCTCCGCCGGGAGCCCTGGGAAAGGCCACAGGGTCCCCTCCTCGCCTTCCCTCAGGAGAACTTCTTCAGCGAGTTCCAGATGGAGGGCATCTCTGCGGAGAACAACGCCATCTATTTAGACCTAACCGCGGAGAATTTATCTCGAGCTTTGAAAACGGCCCAGAACGCCAGAGCCTTGAAGATCAAGCTGACCAATAAGCACTTTCCGTGCCTCACGGTCTCGATAGAGCTGGTGAGTGGGGGGCAGCGCCGAGACGCCCCGGCCAGGGTACCAGTGGCTGTGAATCCGGACTTTCCAGCAGCACCCGGGAAGCTAGTTGGCTTACAAAGAGGAGGGAGGTGCGCGCAGACACTTGCTTTCCACGGGAGTCAGGCCCCCTCGTGTGTAAATGGTGCTGTGCTCCTGCCGCGCGCGGGCTGGGACCCTCTGTCTTTCCCCGTGCCAGGGCCCTCCCACCCCGCTTCCGACTGCGTGTTCCCATCACAGGTGTGGCCACCTCGTGCACAAATCATGCTCTCTGTCTGTTTGCACCTTGGGAGGACTTCCCCGCGTCCCCTCTGACACCTTCGGGTGACCTCCCGTTCTCCCAGAATGCACACCTTTCAGTGCTGCTTCCAGAAGCCTCTGTTGTCTGGCCGTCCTCGGGACGCACACCTTGTAGGCTCTCTTGGCCCACAGGATGGGGTTGACGTGTCTTACCATGACGTCCAGAACCCTGCACGCCTGGCCCCAGCTGTCTTGGAACCAAATCACCGACTCCCACCGTCCACATGGTCCCCTGGAGCATCCTCTTCTTTCCCAGCTCCCAGACTTTGGGGGCCCTCGGGCTTCCATTTGGAATGTCTCCCTTTCTGGCTCCCTGAGACCCGCAGCCCAGTGCCCTTCCTCCTCGCCTTCCCTCAATGCAGCCACCTCCCTTTTTTTTTTTTTTTTTTTTTTTCAAAAAAAATTTTTTTTGATTTATTTATGATAGTCACACACGCACAGAGAGAGAGAGAGAGGCAGAGACACAGGCAGAGGGAGAGGGAGGAGCAGGCTCCATGCACCGGGAGACCGACGTGGGATTTGATCCCGGGTCTCCAGGATCGCGCCCTGGGCCAAAGGCAGGCGCCAAACCGCTGCGCCACCCAGGGATCCCCAACCTCCCTTTTTAAAAGATTACTTGTTTAGTTATTTGAGAAAACACATGTTTGCATGTGTGCACCTGAGCAGTGGGGGAGGAGGAGAGGCGGAGGGAGAGGCAGACCCCCGCCGAGCAGGGAGCCCCACTCGGGGCTCGATCCCAGGACCCCAAGATCATGGCCTGAGCTGCAGGCAGATGCTTCACCGACTGAGCCCCGGATGCCCCTGTGGGTGTTGGTTTTCTTGCTCATTGACCCACCTGTGCCCCTGGAACTTGGGGACCCTGTGTTACTTCCCACACATCTAACCTGTTACAGGATTAAGAGCCAAACAGGCCTGTGCTAAATATCTGGTGAATGTGCTTTGGTGAACAAATTGAGGCCGTTCCACTTAGATTTGGATACTCGTTTCCATTTATCCTTCAGTTATTCTGTTTTTTTAATTCACGCTACGAGAATATGTTTTAACTTTTCTCTCGACAGTTATCTGTGTCGAGCAGCAGTCGCGTGGTGACCCACGACATCCCCGTCAAGGTTATTCCTAGAAAGCTGTGGAAGGATTTGCAAGAACCTACCATTCCAGATTCCGATGTGAGTGATGCCAGTTGTCTTTCGCTCGTGATGTGTTCAGTGCTGTGATTCCAGTTCCCTGATTTCAGCTACGGTCTTGTAGTTTATTTTATTCAAAGATCATACAGTACCTGAGAGGAAACGCTAGTCATTTTTAAAGGATACTTCAGGAAAAGAATTGCAGTAATTGCTTTTTGTGGGTTATGTGAAATACCTAAAGATAGCGCTGCACGTGGCGGAAACACCACACGCGACACACGGAGAGAGAAGTGCTTGGGTCGTAGCGCTGGAGTCAAACTAACTTAACGGGGCGCTTGGGGGGACAGATCTGTGGGGAGCGCTGTCCAGGACGTGTATAAGAGCCGGTCCTGCCGGGGGGCCTCCCAGAGCCCCCGAGAGTCAGGGCGGTGCCACAGAGTCCTCCGCCTCTTGCTCACAATTTCTGGAAAAAGAAGTGTTGACACAGACTGGGGAGACCGTTTACTCCTGCTGGCAGGTCCCTGCAGGGACCGCACCGTCTCAGGCGCTGTTCGGAGCCCGGGCTGAGGGCTGGAGCCAGGCTCCCTCGCAGGGTTTATCCGTGTGTGGGGTGGGGCCAGCGTGTGGCTGTGGCCCCGCAGGGCAGAGGATGGTGCTGCATCATCCCACCGGCCGTGCAGGGGCATCTTGGCTAAAGGGCTGCCGGCCTGGCCCCAGGCGGATGCCCACAGGGACGCCGTCGCCCAAGTGACCAGAGGCAGGAGGAGGTAGCAGGGTGGTAAGGTTGTTTTTCTTTTCATATTTTTGTGTTTTAAAGATTTTACTTATTCACGAGAGACACACAGAGAGAGGCAGAGACCCAGGCAGAGGGAGAAGCAGCCTCCGTGCAGGGAGCCCGACACGGGACTCGATCCCGGGACCCTGGGGTCCCGCCTTGAGCCAACGGTAGATGCTCAACCACTGAGCCACCCAGGCGTCCTTCTTTTTGTGTTTTTAAAGGAACTTTATTCAGACAACTAGAGAACGGGCCTTGTGCTAAGCACACATGCATCGCAGACGGGTAGCGAGCCCCTGTCGCTAACTGACCGTGCTCGTGTTTCTAACACCTTCGATGTTCCTCTTTGATTTTGTAGGTTAGTATTTACTTACCAGTCTTGAAGACGATGAAGAGCATCGTGGAAAAAATGAAGAATATCAGCAATCACCTTGTAAGTGGTGACTTCTTCAGAAAACGGCATTTCACATACCTCACAAGCATTTGGTTTGGGCCGCGTACCCTGGGAGAAGGCCGCGCCTCTTGGAGGTGTGGATGCCTTCACGCCCCGCCCTGTGGTGTCCGGGCGCCCCCGGAGACGTGGCCTGGGTGCAGAGCCAGCACTTTCACAGCTGCCAGCAGAATCCTGTTCTGGGGCTTCTCTGCTGCCTCCCCTCGGGGAGAGCATCCGCCGTGGCCCTCGTCCCGTGTATTTGCACCTGTGGCCTCGTGAGGATGTGTTTGGCGGTTTTGGGCCTTCTTTCCTGTGTTGGACACAACGTTCCATGTTTCACCTGCTAACATGTGTTTGTTCAAGGAGTCACTGGTGCTGGCCGTGAAGGGAGGGTCCTGTCCACTTAGCCCGGGACGAGGCTACCCCCAGATGTCTGCGTTTTCTTGTGGCTGCTTTCACGTGGATCTAGTTGTCAGGCTGGGAGCTTCCTCTGGGGCAACTCTGGGCACCCCCAAGAGGCTCTGAGGGGCTCCGTGAGGCACATGGGGGGACAGGCAGGGCAGTTAATCCAGGGCTCTGAGTGTTCTTTTGGTTCAGTGGAAATGACTCAGCACAGGGGCCCAGAGCCATCAGAGATGTGTTTATCTCTGTGGAATGTTTAAAAACAGATTTCATGCCGTGGCTGCTACAGTCTGGAACTCTTGTTGGGAAGTATTCTGGAGTGGCCAGGCACACAGCTCAGTGAGCCTGACCAGAAGTCTGCGTCTGAAGGGGGAGAGAGGGAAAGGAGGGGGCTCAGCCTGCGCAGATCACCCTCCAGGAGGTGCTGACACCCGGGCTGAGCCCCCCGGTCTTTCCCTACCTCCTGCAGGGGTCCCAGGCAGGAGCGGGGAGGCCTGCAGGGAGGGCCAGCTGACGTTCTGGTTCAGCAGGTGTGGGTTGGGGTCTGGGACCAAGTCCCGATGCGCAGCCTGGCGTGCCTGCTGCCTGGCCTGGCACCGCCTGCAGTGGCCGAGGTGAGAGCCCCGTCCTGCCCTGCTCCGCCTGCCCTCAGCTCGGAAGCTGCACTCATCAGCTTTGTGGTTAAAGCAGGGGTGATGGTATCGTGACGCTGTGGCAAGGGGGGGGGGTCCTCGGGCCACGTGGGCCTGGGGCCCCTCCTGGCCGCACCGTGCAGCCCATTGGCCTCGTGCCGGGTATCCCCCGAGGTGAGCAGGACGGCACGTCTTCATGGGAGCTTTGCTGCTCTGTGTGTGCGGAGAGACGCTTCCTGCTGGCCGCCCAGCGCACTGGGTCATGCTTAGAAGTGGTAGGGGACGGTCACTGGCGAAATCACAGAGAAGTAAGGGCTTTCCCAGCCCCGTGAGAAATAGAGTAACGTTGGAGCGGTTGATGTTCCCGAGGATGGTCACAGCCAGCCTTCGGTGGCCCGCGCTCAGAGGACTAGGCCTTTGTCCCTCTGTCCCTGAGTTTTGGTGGCCACTGCACTCCAGACCCTGCTGGTGCCCCAGTGGGCGGGCTCGTGTGCGGTCACTTCGGTTTTAGGATCAGAAGAAAGCTTAGGAGAGCCTGGCAGGCTGCTTTCCTGAATGAAATCTTGATATGAAACCACTTCAAAGGCAGTGAGAACCTGCAGGTTGTTTTATGTTATTTTGCTCAGGTTCTGTGCTGGATTCCAGGAGGATGGGCTCAGAAATGCGACAGCATGTGTCTGGGTTCACATGGAGAGTTGACAGCAAGCACTTAACATTCGAGGGCATGTTTCCAAGATTATGCAACAGTCCGATCTTTGGAGGACTGTTTCCTATTCAATTTCGAGTCGTCAGAGGCGCCTGGGACGCTCGGAGCCTGTGGGTCCTTGCCTGGCTTCTGCGCCTCTCCTGCTCACGGTCTCAGGCTTGTGAGTTCAAGCCCCACGTCGGGGGTAGAGATGACCTAGAAATAAAATCTTAAACAACAGACTCCAGATAAGCGCTCAGTCAAGTTCAGAGAAGTTTTAAATTTTGTTTTTAGAATGAGAAATACTAGAGTTCACAGGTATTAAGGGACAGGAATGAGAACTATTAGACCGTGCTTGCTGCGTACAGACGCGGCTGCCCGAGCCCAGAGCCTTGCGGGCCGAGCCCCCCCCCCCCGCTCCCCGCAGGTCTCAGGTTTCCCACCAGCCTCTGGGTTTGGTGGGTAACCAAAACTGCCGACTTGCAAACAGCTCTGTGGATTCCCGAAGACCTCCGGCTTTAGAGGGGGGCAGGTGCCGACACCTGGGAGAGAGACCGCGTGCCACGGGCGGGTCCGCGAGGCCGTGGGCTATACGGCGGCACACGCATCTTTCTGTGAACCTCACTGGTGGGTTTAGTCCCGTTACCCAAGCGTGCTGGTTGGTGGTGGAGGCTGCAGCTGGAAAGGAGAGCTGTCTGTGACCTTGGAAGTGGCGTAGGCTGGGAGACTGGGAGGTGGGTTCTGGGGATGGGCCGGGGCCTGTACCCCAGCGCAGGTCACCAAGCCACTCTGCTGGCAGTGCAGACGGAAATGCCGCATCTCCAGACCTTTCGAAATTTGGAAATCTCACCTCCCAACCTTGAGTCTGGTTTTTACCCCCCCCTTTTTTTTTTTAGTTTGATAAAGAACTTATTTATTTGACAGGGAGAGTACATGCACACACACGCACAAGCAGGGGGACGGGCAGGCAGAGGGAGAAGCAGCCCCCCTCCGCGCAGGGAGCCCGACACGGGGCTTGATCCCAGGACCCCGAGATCATGGCCTGAGCCGATGGCAGAGGCTTCACCCACTGAGCCCCCCCAGGCACTCCTGAGCTTGGTTTTTAAAAACGGGTTATGTTCCCAGGAGATTCTCAAAGTTTTGTAGTCATGTTGCATTTGTAGTTAGAAGACAGGTTTGACCACTTAGAGAATACGGCTGTGGACAAGCTTCTCCTGATTTCCACGTGCCCCTCCCGTTTGTAGCAGTTGAGGGTGTCCCCGTTGTCAGCACGGAAACGCTCCCACGGGACTCTGCTCCCACGTTCCCCTGTAAGTGGCGCAGGTGTTGCTTGCGCCGTACGGGGGACAGCAGACCGCCTGCGGTCCCGTCCAGCCGCCTCCCAGAGGGTCGCTTGGGACAGACGACCTGGGAGTCGTGTTGCTCGGCGTTCCCGCCACCCTGGGCTGTACCCGCGTGCTCTCCAGGGCGGGCGGGCTTCCGCTCTGATTGAGTCACTGCGAGGAGTGGCTTTCACGGTGGGGACAGGCGTGGCGAGGGGCCTTCTCTGGAGCCTGCCGTGGGCCGCTCCGGCCGGCCTTCCTCTGTGCGGGCAGCGTCCCCCGCAGGTGGATGCAGGTGCGTCCCCTCCCCATTTCCAGGGCTCCCGGGGACCGCTGGGCCCTCGTGTGCTGCCCGGGGCTCCGTGTTGCTGCTGGGCACCGTGCCATCCCGTATCCTCCCCCGCTGTCTCCGCCGGCGACCCGGCCCCAACTCGGGCTCTGCTGTCTCCCTTCTGTTCCCGGCGGTCTGTCCTCGCGGAGCTGGACGCGGCTGCTTGGACCCTGCGTCTCCGAGTGCTCTTGCCACCGTGCTGTCTTCCCTGAAGATCTCACTTTGGGGCTTGACCACAGTCCTTTGAGGAATCCTCTAGAGCACGGGTTCTCATTTTCGGCATGGGAGTGGGGCCCAGATGGTTTTGAGGTCCAGGGCTTAGGGCTCTGTCCTGCTGTGACCACGGCACGTCACAGCACGCTGCCTCCACGGCGGCCCCTCCGCTATCCCTTCCCGCTCTTTGTCCTCCCCTCCTGGAAACCCCCTGTCCCGCTCCACTCCCCTTGTGTTTCGCCCCCGTGGCTTCCTGTCCACGCGGGCACCTGCCAAGATCCTGGGGCCAGGCTGCTGCCGCCTCTCCCTGGTCTCTGCTCTGACGGGCCCTCCTTCGGGGGCCGCGGGGGGCTGCAGGGTGTCAGGTGGGCCTTTCTCCCCCTTTTGTTTCCTTCTTCTTTTTTAAGACTGTAAAATACTCCATTTGCAGATCATGGAAGCAAACCTCAGCGGAGAGTTGAACTTGAAAATAGAAACAGAACTTGTGTGCGTCACAACTCACTTCAAAGACCTTGGGAACCCTCCGCCCGGTACGTGTTCCCAGGGGTCGTGTTGTGTGTGGGACACGTGGTTTCGGGGGGCACAGCTTGCTCAGATCTCTGCCTGCAGAACGGGAGAAATGCGGCCGACGGGGTCTCAGGCTTGGGGAAGCTCAGCCGCCTCGGCCTGAGGACCAGCGCCTGCACCTGTGGTCCCTGGGGCCCCAGGGGCCCGGGTCTGCCCATTTCTGCCCTGGAATAGTGACCGGGTTGACAGGGTTCACCTCCTGCCACTGCAGTCCCTAGTATTTATGGACTAGGTTAGCACATAACAGCTTTCTTCGCCTGACCTGATGTTTCATCCCCTCTGCGGTGTTGGGACACCACGGGACCGGTTCAGCTGCAGCAAGTGACAGGGTGACAGGGGCGCTGGGGGAGAGGGGGCCCAGTGGTGCCTGCAGAGCTCCTGGGGCACACAGAGCGGGTGCTGGAGCGGGCGCCACACGGGGCCCTGGCATGTCCACTGATGATGTGGAAACCGGATCGATCCCGGGTGTGTTCTGTTCTTTCTCTAAAGTTTTAAAAGTATTTTATTTATTTGTTTGAGCAAGAGCTGAGTCGGGGAGAGGCAGAGGGAGAAGCACGCTCCCCGCTGAGCAGGGAGCCGGATACAGGGCTCCATCCCAGGACCCTGAGGTCATGACCTGAGCCGAAGGCAGGTGCTCAACCGCTGAGCCCCTGGGGCCCCCTCCAATGTTCTCAACCGTGTGATAGGCCCCCCAGTGCTACAGTTAGGGTGTGTCAGTGCACGTCGCATTAAGAGAGGTGCATCCTAGGGGGGTCCACTCTACAGCGAAGCATGTGCTGATCCAGCCATGGGAGGTCCACCTGGCGAGGCTTTGCTGACAGCCGTGTGAAGTGAGTGCCTTCCCTTCCGTGTTACTCGTTTTCTTTATTTTAATGTGTTACAACAAGGGTGTGTGATGCTTGGCCAGACGGGGAAGGACCGTTTCTTCCCCCTCGTTCCCAAGGAGGAGCAGTCACACGTGAGCTGTGTGGTCCCGCTCCTCAGCGTGTGGCAGGGGGCTAGCAGGGACCGTTTCCTTGGACCAAAATGGGGAGAGTGGGTCATATTTCAGGTAGAGTCCCTGGGAGTTTGCACAGTGTTTTAGAAGGAAGGAAGGCCTCGGTAGCTGCTTGCTGAGCCACGACTGTGTGCACACTTTGTATTTCCAGGCTGTGCCAGACAGTGGCAACGGGAATCATCTGTTTAAGTCCCCACGCTTCCCGGTCACCTCCCACACTGTCCGTGTCATTGTAGCCTCTGAAGACGCGTCTCAGGAGAGACCCCCCGAGCAGATGGCTGAAGTGCACATAGACATCCGGAAGCTCCTGCAGTTCCTCGCTGGACAGCAAGTGAACCCTACGAGGGCTGTGTGCAGTGAGTATGTGTGTGGATCGTTGTCCACGTTTCAGATCCCATAATCAGAGGCAGGCCCCGACGGTACGCGGTCTCCTCGGTGCAGACACAGCTCAGCCATAGGGACCAGGTGTTCTCAGGCAGGTGGGTGTTTGGGGTTTCCTGGATTTAGCAGCGCCTGGTGGCCTGCAGCATCGCTGGCTTGGCACGGGGCTGTGTGGGTCTGTATCCGGGGAGGCTTCCAGACAACAGGTGCTGATCGTCCAGTCTGACCTGCTGAGGGGAGCCCCTGACCCCGTCAAGTGGGCTTGGCCCCAGCTCCCCTGCTCTGCCTCTGTTGCCTTCGTGGGTTGAACCCTGAGCGCTGCCTACAGTTGTCCCCTACCTGGCCGTTTGCCTCCTGTCCCGATCTTTGCCTGTGGGCCCTGGATCGCGGTCGGCCCCGTCTTCCTCAGCTTGCACCTCCCTCCCGGCTCTCAGGAGTTATTGGCTACACAGGAGGAAGGGCTTGGGATCCCTGGGTGGCGCAGCGGTTTGGCGCCTGCCTTTGGCCCAGGGCGCGATCCTGGAGACCCGGGATCGAATCCCACGTCGGGCTCCCGGTGCATGGATGGAGCCTGCTTCTCCCTCTGCCTATGTGTCTCTCTCTCTCTCTCTCTCTCTCTCTCTGTGTGTGTGTGTGTGTATGTGTGTGACTATCATAAATAAATAAAAATTAAAAAAAAAAAAAGAGGAAGGGCTTGCTCGCCCTGAGCTTTCCACGGCTCTTTGTCTCCTCGCCACTCCGATCAGGGCAACTGAAAGGGAGCCACACCTTCCACAGAGGAGCCGGCAGGCTGAGCGCCCAGCCACCTTGGAGCGGCGCTTAGGACGGCCCATTAGGACGGCCCAGGAGCGCACTTGACGGGAACAGAAAATTGTAGGTGGCTGTGCCTGCCAAGGAGGAGCAGCCCCATAGAAGGAGACACGCAGTGAAGCAGATCACGGGAGGGCAGTGAGCACGTCCACTAGATGGGGCGATGGGGCACGGCGACCGAGGGCCAGGGTTATGGTCGCAGATGCTGGAATGGCCGGATCCTGGGGTGGGTACCAGGGTCTGCGTGCGCTGCATCCCGAGAGCCCTTGGCCTGGCCTGTTGTGGGTTCTAGGGCTGAGGGTGGGAGCTGCGTCTTGGTGTGGGGTCGGCCCAGGCTTTAGCCAGTCCTCCCGTCTGCTGACAGGCTCTGCACAGGCTGCTGGGTGGCGCCAGTGCAACCCGGCTGTGCCCCGTGTAGAGTGGAAGCCTGGGGGGGGGCATTGCCCTTGAGTCCCCCCTCGTGGCCCGCTCAGGACAGCGGGCCTTGTGGGTTCTACGCCAGGCGGCCAGCTGAGTGGCTTGAGCCCTCAGAACGGTGACTGGGGTCCCCAGAGGTCAGCGATGAGCCAGGGATTGTGACACAGTACGACTTGGATTTCTCCTACCCTTGGCTTGATCTTTCAAACCAGCTTTTCTGCCTGTGGTTTCTGGCCCGGGGTGGCGTCCTGCAGCGTCCCACTCCTCTGCCCCACACCCTGGGTCTCCGCCTGCCCCACCACGGCCCCTGTGACTGGTCCCTCCGCAGCCTGGCACTTGGCCTGGCCTACCCTCGTGGGCTCCATGGGTACCCCTCGCCCGCCCTCGCGCCCCTGCACCGTTCCCACCCCTGCCCGTGCAGGCTGTGGCCCTGCCGTCACCACTGCCTCTCGCGGCCATTGAAGGGAGCGGGGCTCCCAAGGAATGTGCCCCTCGCCCTGTGTGCGCCACCTGACCTGGGCTTCGGTGCGACGTGCACCCCTCCTGTGCCCCGTCCTCCACTGCAGCCTGTCCCCAGGGAGGTGGGCCGCAGCGCCGGGGCTCTTGGCAGTGACAGGGTTTCTTCTCTCCTCAGACCTCGTCAGTAACAAGATTGTCCACTTTGATTTGCTCCACGAGGACGTTTCCCTGCAGTACTTCATCCCGGCCCTCTCATAGACCGGTCCCCACCCGGGAGCTTGGGGCTGCGCCGTGCTGGCCGTGGGCCACGTGTAGAGCCATGCAAGTCTGTGCATTTTACTTCTTCAGAAATTTTCTGGCTAAAAGTTGGGTTAATGAAAGACAGTTGGATAAACCTACTACATTTTAGTCTCCTTTGTTCTTGTGTCTGTTTTGTTGTCAAGATGTGGAAAATGAGGAAGAGAGACTGTTTATCCAGACTTCAGATAGGTTTAGGCTTGTACACCCCGCCCTCCCCTGGCTCTGTCCTTGGAGCCTGATAACCGGCCGGGGCAGCCCTGTGGCCGCCTCAGTCACACGGGTGTCCAGCTGCAGCACGCGGAGCCCCCTGGCCCTGCTTCCCCCCTGACGCTGCCCCATCCGGTCCCGCTGTGGGGAGGCCGCTGCCCGGGGACAGGACGCTGTGACGCGTCTTAACTGGCATGTCAAGGCCGAGAAGTGAGGTGCGGGGTTAGGGTAAGCGGAAGAGGAATCTGCAACCTTGAGCAGTTGTCTTCCGGCCACTTGAGCGCGTTGGAGCCCGTGGTAAGACCCAGGGTCGCGAGTGCTGTTTCTGATGCTTGTCAGTGAGCGTTCGCGTGGGACGTAGCATTTGTTAAAGCAACTCTTTTTTTTTTTTTTTTTTAAGATTATTTATTTATTCAGAGAGAGAGAAAGGTAGAGATCCAGGCAGAGGGAGAAGCAGGCTCCATGCAGGGAACCCGACGTGGGGCTCGATCCCGGGTCTCCAGGATCACACCACGGGCTGAAGGCGGCACCAAACCGCTGAGCCACCAGGGCTGCCCTCAAGCAACTCTTTAAAGCTCGTATCGTTCCAGTTTTCAAGCGTCTCTTCTCTCCTTGCTGCAGTAAGACTTGGAAATCATGATGTTCAGTGAAACAGCCTAAAGAGAGTTCATAAACCTTTTTTTTTGCTGTGATAGTTACCGATCTGGGAAGTTGGTCACTGCTGATCATCCAAATGATGTTTCGCGCACAGTGAGTCTACAGTACTGGTCTGTAGCACGAGGTGGTGGCGCAGTGGCTCCTGGCCGCCCCCCGTGGCCACCGCGCCTCGGCTCCTCCGGCGTCCGGCGTGTGTATTTTCGCATCCCACCTTTGGGCGTCTGGTGTTGCTGGAGGGCCTGTCCAGGCTGGAGCGGCACAGACGCCTGAGATCCTTTATTTGTCAGAGTGCATCTTGCAGCGCGCCCAGGCACACTGAGCTGGTGGCAGGGATGGCACTCGAATCCAGGCCTCTGACGCGTGATCGGTGGCCCTCTCTCCAGGCTTCGCTGTGCGTCCGGAGTAACGAATCCTACACGTTTCAGGCTCCGTGTCCACCAGTCACTTCACGAGTCTGGGAAGAGCGTCTTCATTTTAACCCTGCTGTGGTCAAGTAGGTTTGCACGCAGGTTCTAAAGCGCCGTAAACCCACAGGTGATTTCCTTCTGCGTGTAGAGTTGTGTTGATGGTTTCGGGGCTGGCCCAAGTCTCCGTGTGGGCAGGGCCACCCAGGCTGTCTCCGGGGGTCAGGACGCGGGGGTCTGTGTCTTGCACTCGGCAGGACGCCCTGCTTCGTGCTTCCCTGGGTCTCAGAGCCTTGACCGAGGACGGCTTTCTCTCCCACGGGCGCTTGGGGAAACCAGCAAGCCGCTGTGCTGAGCGGTAACCACTGCAGTTCCGTTAGCTCAGGTTAGAAACGTGAACATAACTTGAACAGTTAACATATTTCAAGACTCGTCTGTCCCAGTGCTGAGCCCCTCGGTCACGTCCTATACCCAGGAGACTCGCTCTGTGGCTTCCGTCGTGTGGGGCTGGCCAGGTGCCGAGCGGCCTTCCAGTTCTCGGTGGATGGCAGAAGGGCAGAGCTGCGCTCGGAATCGTGGCCTTTTAAGGGGGTCCCGATGGGAGATCTGAAAGGAAGCCTGAGCTCTGCTGGGTTTTTTGGCTTCTCCACGTGAACCCTGAGCTAGGATGTGGGTCAGGATGGGATACGGGAGAGACGTTCACCCTGCAGCCACTGCTGGGCTCTGGTTGGGTTTTTATGTGTGGAAAAGCCTTAGAAAGGGCTGTGTGCCCTTTGACCCAATACTTTTTATTATAGGGATTTACACAGATAACCTATGGCTCGACAGTGTTTTCTGCTCTCAAAGTAACGTTACAGAAACAACGTACTGACGTGGTGCAGTGTTTATGATCATAGCTACAGGTGGTATGACCGGACTCCAGGTCTGAGAATAGCCACGTACGTGTGGGTGTCAGAAAAAGGTTGGGGGACGCCCGGGGGCTCCGTGGTGGAGCGCCTGCCCTCAGCCCAGGCCGTGACCCCGGGGTCCCGGGATCGAGCCCTGCGTCGGGCTCCGCACAGAGAGCCTGCTTCTCCCTCTGCCTGTGTCTCTGCCTCTCTCTCTGTGTCTCTCATGAATAGATGAAATCTTTAAAAGAAAAGAAAAAGGTTGGAGAAATATGCAGCAGCACTTAAATCTGATGACTTGTGAATGTTTCATTTTCGTCTTTGTAAACTTAAGTATTTTCTAAAACTCTCCTCGTCGGTTTTGTAATGAAAAAATAAATTATTTTTTAAGGGACTGAGTAGTATGTATTATTGGAATGCAGCCCGTCATCTCTGGCCTTTTGCTCAACATAGGCCTTTAGGCTTTTTACCTTCACGCGTGTCCTTTCCGGATAGGAAAGTAAATTCTGACTCGTCATGTTGAGGTCCAGGAGGCCACGCGGACTTGTGCATCAGGTAGCGGCACAGCACGGAATGATTGCTTCCCGCCCTTGAAGGTGGGCGGGCCTGTGGTGGGGCCCAGGCTGCGGGGCCTCCCGTCCCCGATGAGCAGACGACGACCCCTGGGAGCACGGGGACGGGGGGCCCTGATCCCCAGTGACTGAGCCCCGGTTCCAGCAGAGACCCCGGGAGGCCCGGGGAGACCCCGGCTCTGCACCTTTGTGCTGGGTGTAGCCCTGGGCTTAGCATCTCGGAGGCCACCGCTGTGGGGTCAGGGGAGCACAGCCCTCAGGC